TCGACGCCATCGATAAAGCCTCGGCTGCCCACCGTCAACGGGTGAAGACGAGCATTTTGAACGAGGTTTTGGGGGAGGCGCTGGTCTGGCAACGCCCTCCCACCGTGAAAAGCTCTCAACAGGGACGTGTCTATTACTGCAATCAAGTGGCGACGGAACCCCCCTCCGTGGTGGTTTTCTGCAACAACCCCAAGCTTTTCCCTGACTCCTACAAGCGGTATCTCGACCGCAAATTCCGCGAGAGCTTGGACTTGACGGGCACGCCAATCCGGTGGTATTTCAGGGGGAAAAAACTCCGACAACTTGCCAAGCAAGGGAGTCCGGTGCCGTACGGGATGCCTGGAAGTTGAAGGAGGGAGGGAGTGAGTGAGTAAGTGAGGGAGGGAGGGAGGTGGGTTGGTGGTGAAGGAGGACAGTGTGACGAAGGTTTGTGTAATATTTATGGGGAGATGAGATGAAGAAGTGAAAGCGACAAGTAAAAGTCAGAGCGAGCGCCCGATTTTTTTTCCTTCAGAATATAGCAAGACGCATGGAAGACGCGCTCGTTCGAACTCAGGCTTGTAGTAGTCGCATTTCTCTCTACATTCCACTAGATAGACTCTCCGCGATCAATTCGACCGCAACGACATGTCTTCCACCCTTTTAATTTATTCCGCGCCGACAGCGCAATTCACGTATGGGACACGCTACTCCGTCCCCATCCTGCCCTTCCCCATTCTCATCCCTCATCAATCATCCTTCCCACGTTCCTGCGCTCCGCCACCCTCCCTCCTATCTCCCGACGGCTCCCCTTTTTCCTCCTCGTCCTCTTCAACCTCCCCTTCCCTCGCCTGCGTCCACCCGTCGATGTCCACGATGCGCCAGTCTTGCGTCACCTGGGGAAAGGAGAAGAGAGCGGGTACCGTCAGAACCTTGGATGGCAGGGAAAGGGATATCAAATACACACCCACTCTTACAAGTAAAGATCAAATGATGGGCACGTCCGTGACGATTTGCGCACACACTGGCCTCATACTGACACACAAACCTCGTAACCCTCCCCCGTCCCCGCCGCCCCTTTCTCTCCCTAAACATCACCTGCGCTTTCTGGTCCAACTCCACGTCGAACCGCGCCACGTGGTCCACTTCCCTGATCCCGTCCTCCCCTTGCAACACCTCCCCTGTATCGGTGTTACGGACACAAAAGAGCTCCCGACACCGGAATGTAACGGCGATGTGAAATCCTATCCGAGGGTTCCGGGACATGACCCGCACGTAAGCGGCCAGGGTGTCCGTCATGGGTCCGTCAATGTCTATTGGCTGGTCTGAGAAGGTAGTCAAACCAAAGAACTTGTGCTTGGCCATGGCTGCGCGTTGGGGGGAGCCTCGCGGAGGGCCCATCGACATGCGGTAGTCGTGCATGGCAACAGGGACGATGCTCTCCAGCTCCAGACGCACCTCCCGCTTGTTCGCTTTGAAACGCGCCATAACGTCTTTGTAAGTCATGACCAGCGCCTCGTCCATCATGGCGGAAAGGGGTGGATAGCCCATATCCCAGGTGGAGGAAGGAGGCGTGGGGTCTTCCCGAGAGAATTCCAACGTGGGCCGTGGCGTTTTACATTGCCCATCGAAAATCCCGCGCACTCCCTGAATGAAGGCAAAGCGCATATAGCGGAAGAGACGCTCTTGGACGGCGCGAGGAAGGCATTCCATTTCCTTGGATAGCAGTTTGTTGAAAGTACCGCGGAGGGTGGCCTGAAACAAAATTTGGGTGAACCACTCCCCGTAAGACGCATAGCGTGGTGCAGCAGGCCGACGGGGCGCCGGGCGCCATGGGAACGCAACTTCCTGGACAGGCAATGGTTTTTGAGAAGCATTGTCGTCTATGAAGGTGATGTCCACCGGAGACGCTGCCGCAGCTTCCCCTCCCCCGCCACTTAGGCGTGAAGATGCGCTGGCCTCTATCTTCTCAGAGGCCTTCAAAGTAGAGGATGCCGCCGATCGCGAGGAAGGAGAAGACGATAAATTGTGGGAACACGCTCGTCGTGGACTGCGCCATTTATGTTGCCTCTCCGCTTTTCCCGTGATGGAGGCCACCAGCGGAGACGTGGGAGGGAAAGAAGACAGGCTGCGCCATGCCCGACGAAGAGGCCTGTTGCAGCTGCGGCCGCCTTTGCACCTGCTTGTATCCGAACCTGACGGGCGGATGACAGTACATCTGGGCCGCAAGGCTGGTGCTAGGTTGCGGATCATTTGTCTGTGTCTCCTTTGCCCAGGTGCGCGGCTTGACCAGGCGCCTGATCGCCGTCAGAGCCACGCAAACCTCCTGCCCCGCGAGCCTGCGTAATACAACAAGGGGAGTTAGTCCCTGGCATAGCAGGTTCATTAGCGCTGTGATGGTCGATGTAGAGACTTGTTTTTGTGTCTAGGGACGTCGCAAAATCCACCTCGCGTGGGGGAGAGAGACTTATCGCTGGCTACATTCGGGTATTGCCACTTAGAGAGGGGTAAAATGTTTTATTGTGGGGTTGCGTTAACAGTCGGTAGGCAGTGTATAAGCTCGTGCAGGACGTTGACTTTTCGTTATAAGTATTTGCTCTGCCCAGCGGCCTCTAAAAGGTAACACAGCTTCGCCTTGAACATTTGGCAAGTAGCCGTCAAAACGTACAGGACGTTATAATCCTGCCTCGGATGTCAACGAAAACCAGTTCATCGAGAAAAACATCACAAATCATGCAATGTCAATACAATATGGCTGTTTCATAGGTTTAATCGGGGATATGCGCGTGTAGGCGGCGAGAAAAACAAGAAAAAGGGGACGAGCATTTGTGCAAGTGTGGCAGTGAATGCAAGAGCTGAATATCTTTTGTCGATGATTTGTCACATTCAAGGCCATACGAAACCGACAGTATGTCTCGGAACGCAAATGTGCAAATCAAGTCCTTGGATTTGTTGTTTGATAACATTTTGTTCTAAATCATCTTCAATCCTCCATTTCTTCCGCCCATCGAAGTTCCAAGAATGCCCTGTGCGAGCTTACTTTACGGCTTTTTGCTTTCAAGCATATCTTTGAAATACTCATTCCCCTCCAGCTGATCGTCGATGTCTACCAGAATCCACTCGAACGGTGCTTTCTGTAATCATGGTGGGGGGCATGCAGGCATGTCCATGATATCGTGAGGACCCCGTCGTTTCACGGTAAAATGACAGAGCTAGAGCGACATATCGCATAATTTCGCCCAACCGGATGTCTAACCCCATTACCATCATCCCCCTCGCTCCCTCTTACCTTTTCTTCGTCGACCTTTACCTCAAAGCGGGCCACATGGTCCACTTCTTTCATCCTGTCTTCCCCCTGCAGCACTTCCCCTGTCCCCGAGTTTCGTACCGTGAAGAGCTCGCGACAGCGGAAAGTGACGGCCATGCGGTACAAAATGCTAATAGGCACAGGTTCTTTCCTCTCTGACTCCGAGGGCACGGTGACTGGCTTCCCGAAAACCAGCGACAGCGCCCCAATGTTCACCGATGACCGTTCCGGCTTCTCCTGGGCCTCTCGCAATCCAACTATTGCTCGAAACCCCGCCAAACTGAGTACCCGGATGCTCTCCAGCTCATACCGCACTTCCAGGTCTTTGGCGCGAAAGCTAGAGACCAGGTTTTCGTACAAGCTGGCAAGTTTAGGCTCCATCATGGCAGAGAGAGGAGGGTAGCCGAGTTCCCATTCCGAGGACGGAGAGCGGGCATCATGGTATGTGAGCTTCCACGTCGGCTCGGGCGTCTTACACGTGCCTTCGAAAATGGCGCGAACCGCTTGGATGAAGGCGAAGCGTGTAGACCCACTGAGGGATCGAAACACGTCTCTCTTCACAGCATTCGTGTGCATTGCCACCTTCTTTGCTAGCATTTCTCGCACGACTAAAGTGGACAGGTAGTATCTCAATCGCTGGAACATAGATTTTTCCTGAGGCCCGAAAGCCGATACCTCAGCCTCGGGCGCTGACCCCCATGGAAATGGCTCGTATCCACCAGGTGATGACCATTTTCCCTGCTTTTCCTCCGTCTCAGCAGCTTCTGATAACCCCACTTGCTTCCCATCTACGTGACTACCCCTACTAGGCTTGATTTGTGGTTCGGTGGCTTCGACTTGAACATGCGTGGGCGTAGGAAAGGGCAGGACTTGACGTGAAGTAAACCTCTTGAAGAGCTGGTCTTGGAGCCATAAAGAGATTGGCTTGGAAAAAGAATGAGAGGGTCTTATGCATACCATTGCTAAACGCCGTATGCGGTTGAAGCGAAGGCAAGGCTTGTTACATGTGGCGAAAGCGCTGCCTTGACCGTGTCTCCAGCTACCATAGACGAGCCGCCTTGGCCATGCTAAATAACGCGTCATTACTTTCCCCCTTTTTGTGATTCCAACCACTATATTTCCTGAAAATGTAGATTGTGCCCAGTACCATGAGAATTTATGTCCAGAACACATGTTTTTGGCGTTTGTGAGACATCGTATTGGAATGCAATCGCGTTTCTACGTAAAATATTTTTTCCTGCCGCGAGACGGCCGATGACCCCGAGGATGGGAGTGGAACGGCGGAGTGAGTGCGATGGCTGCAACAACTGGTATCATTTTGACTTAATTGAGAACAAAAAGGGGAAGGGCCCGCGCAATGCGGCGCAGGTTGCTGCGAGCAGCGAGACGATGCACTCGCCTAAACGACCCGCAACATAGCTTGAAAGGAAACAGTCCTACCCTTGCAAGGGTCCAGTCTCACACATCCAGTCCATGATCATTCATTATATAAAACGTATATATTAAGACGCGAGTCCTTCCACACATTGAAAACGGTCCACATGGCAGCATACACAGGGTCAGGAGGCAGGAGGTAACACCGTCAAGGAGGCAAGTATTCATCTTTCAGGAAAAACGCTTGTCGCACCTCAAAAATGTCAGATAATTATGGTCAATAGCTATGTAATATGCCAAGAAAGAAGTCGTAAATGACCGTAGTCTTCAACATTGATCTCTGAGAACAAACTTCAAAAAACTTGTAGAGAAAATTGCCCGGATTTTGTCGTCAAGACTGATTATTTTCCTTCCTACCCAGCAGAATTTGATTGAAGTCTACTCCACACACCCACATATCGTCGATGATTACCCACTTTCCAATTTTACTGCTTTGCCCCAGACTTGTTGGCATCCAATTCAACCTTGTACGTACTCTTGTACAATTTTAAGGCGTCGACCAACGCGCTAAGTTGACATTGCGACGTTACCTCGAGCACATCATTTTGGACCTTCACGAATACTGCGGCATGGAAGGCATCGGGATAAATGTTAGGATTGCACTCCATCTCCAAACGCGTCTCAAAATCCGTAACCAAAAACTCTAAAGATGGCTCACGAGGCGCGGGACCTGTCTTATCTTCAGCTGCATTGGCTGCTTTGATAGCCCTGAACGAAGCAAGAAGAGCGTTGACTCGCAACGCCAAATCTTTGAAAGTCTCAGGTTTGCAGCGAATTTTTAAACGCGAATCGTCTCCCATCGGCAGGATGAAGGTCTCCACGACTACAGCAGGGGACGCACCAACAACTGCGGCGGCAGATGTTTGTACATGCGATACCTGGTGCTTGGCAGGCAGCACAAAACTGACAGTAGACCGGGCAGCGGTGGCAATCGCCAGTAGGAATAGGACAGACCGCATGATAAGCATAAGGTTGAAGAAGGGCTGTGAAACGAGAATAAGGCGGGGGAAAAAGAAATGTCAGGGAATTCTTGTGCACATCGAATGGTAAACTTTATGTGATGCTTCCTTCCAATCGTACTAGAACATGATGTGAGCGTGTTGTACACATATGCTCACGCAGCCTCATAACGCGTTGTTTGCAATTGGAAAAGTGAGGTATCTTCCAGTTGAAGCATGGTGAGGCGGCTTGAACGAGTGGATGCTGCAAGTCATGGATATCCCAACAAAATCCAAAAGAGAATCCGATTGGCAGCGCCAACGTTGCCACACCATACTCTCTACGTATCCTCTATTCTCAATTCAGGACAGCTTCCCTGTGGCAATCGCCTGTCTTGAACTGTCCTTTCCCACCCGTTGTTCTTGAGTGAGAAGGATGTTTCTCGTCCCCTCCCTGCGCTCATTTTGCCAGCCTTTCTCTCGAGTGTCTGACAACTACCGTCCATGTGGGACTTCAAGACCTGCCGTGCATGAAAGGTATCCATCCAGATGTAAAGCCGTAGATTCATGTATGAGCATGGGCGGCGGTGTCCGTGGCAAGCTGTGTGACCCTACGTGTCGCGTCAGTGTCGCTTTTTCCCCTCGGGCTTGCCGTTATCGCGTTGTCGTGTTGAGTTTCAACGGATGACGAGGCCTGATCTACATTCCTGCTCCCAATCACACACCCCACCGACACGACGCGGGTGGTGCCGGCGTCCCTGCTTGATGGTACAAAGTGGTGGCACACATTATAAATGATCGCACCCGTTGTTTACTCATAGCTCATTTTTTAATGGTTTGCAGATTGAGACAGGGTCTGGTGGCAACGTATTCGTCAAGCAGGCAGACGTAGGACGCCCGTAGGCGAAAAGCCGCCTTTTCTACTACATCGCATCTACCATGACTATCGGCAACCCATTCTTCAAGTGGGTCAGTCAATACCTGCGGCCCTTTCTACGTGACCGATTAAAACCCCTCATTGACACGTATGCTCCCAACAAGATTGCCACATTGGAGGGTCCATCGCCCGTGTCAGTCGCGTCGGGAGTCCCTGCAACTCGTACTCTTCAACCCCTGTTTAACGATCTTAGGGCAAATGTCGCAACAAAAAGTAAGGTTAAAAGCACTGTACATAGAATGAGAGCGGGCGAAAGCAGCGCTTGCGGTAGTATGTCGGCCAATTCCCTCCTTATCGAGCAGCAACAAGCTGCACTCCTGACTTCTGCCCTCGTGGCAGCACAGCGCAAGAAGGCGACGAGTACTTGCACGTCACAGCCTGGTCTCTCAGAAAAGACGCTCCCTTCATGTCTTCAACATCACCAGCAGCAACAGCTGCAGCTGCAGCAAAATCAGCGGGAGCACCCCCACTTGCCTGAAAAGGAAGTGGAAAAAGCGGCCTTGGCATCGACGACAGAGGAAGCGTCCGCGCCGCCCTCCTCTACAGGCGAACCACGCGTCACCTTGTCTTCACAGCAACAATTGGAAGACGTACAGCGTGGAGAGCAGCGCAAGTTGAACCCTGTAGACCGGGGAGGGGCACGGACCAAGGTTGAAGTTAATGCGCCGAGTAGCAGTGGAGCCGCATCCTCCCCCCGTTTCAAGCGTTGCTACTACGTCCCTGTGATCAATCCCTTGCCCGACCTGAAGGAAAAGCAACTCGCCGTCCTTGACATGCGCCTGTACGGGGTCCGGGACATGCCAACCTTCCGCGAGCTCGCCCCCTCCCTTCCGCCATCCGTGCTGTCCACAGCCAAGCTCCGAGGTCTCACTCTGACTCAGGCTCCCGAGATGGTCGCTGGCATGGCAGAACAAGAGACGTCGGCTTTCCTCTCGGTGGCCGATGTCTTCCCCATGCAAGAGAGAGAGGAAACGGGAGTGGGCGAGGCGGAGAAGGAGGAAGAGGGAGGCGAGGAAGGTGAGAGGGCGCAGAAAGAGGATCGGTGGGACGGGAAAAGTCCTTGTTGATATCACATTGATGGTACGCGAAGAAAATGCACAAATCCGGAAGGAAAGCGGGCCTGGAAAAGGGCAGAGGAAACATGAAATGCACAAATGAAGAGAACTAGGGTCAGAAAGGACGCATTAGAAGAAAGGAGGAGGAAGAGACCGCGAAAGAAGAGTTCTTTCCTGTGGATGTGGTAGCAAGGTTGCGGTTGGGAGCGAATGTTTCGCAGTTAGATGACGTCTCCGAGGGCGCACCACCGCTCCGTCTGGGAAAGGGTGGGACATGTACAGTACAGTAGGGAAACGGCCTAGTGAGAGCCCACACCAGTATCATGCCACAGGTGGCGACTATTTACGAATCGTTATCGGATCTCTAAAGACAGCGTCGGGCAGCCGGCGGAAAAGGATTGCCTCGATTGTCCGCGGATGGACGACTGCGGACATGGAATGATGCCTCGCGTACCCCGCGCGGGTCGAGGCCTGAAATTGACCCCACAAGTGCCATCCCACGGGCTTTGAAAGCCCAGAAAACAAATTTCTGGTCTACCCCTACCTTCACATTGCATGGCAGAGGAAGCTAAAACTTGGCGGCAAGAAAAACAGAGGTGCAGGGGGGGCAAAAGCATTGTTTAAGGACGAAGGTCGTTATTCCTGGCCGCCAAGTTGCTTTCTCGTGTCTTTTTTTTCCCTTGCTTTTATTCCTCCGCTTGGATGAAGGCGAAGCGTGTAGACCCACTGAGGGATCGAAACAC